AATTTATAAAAACATTGCCAAATCTAATTTAACTAATATGCATAATAAAAAAAAAAGTAAGATAAGACACATGCTTGAAGAAACATTTAGTAGGATTTGTCTGATTTATGATTTGTGGACACTTATCATTATAGACAAGTATATGTCTCTTATTGCTCACTTTATTGATCAAATATAGGTTTTACAAAAAAGCATCTTGAAATTTTCCTTAATGCCACCTTTACATAATAGTGTTGCATCAAGTGCAAAGGTATATACATTGCTAGCTGAATAGGGAATTGAAAGTAAATTATTTTATGTGATATTAGATAACATTTCTGTTAGTGATACTTTTGTTGATTTTTTGAAAGAGCAATTGAATGTAAAGAAAGCACTCATAGAATAAGGTTTTTTTTTTTTTTTTCATTTAAGATGTTATGCTCGCATTCTTAATTTGATAGTGCAACATGGTTTGAAAGAGGTTACAAAAGCTATCAAAAAAGTGAGGGAAAATATTAAATATGTGAAAGAGTCTCATGTGAGAAAACAAAAATTTTTAGAGCATGTTAACCTAGTGAGCTTAAATGCAAAAAAGGGATTGAGACAAGATGTTCCAACTAGGTGAACTCTACATTTCTCATGCTTCAAAGTACTTTTTACTTTCGCGTGGCTTTTATTCACATGGGAATTAGTGATTTGAATTAAAAGACTTTTCCATCTAAAGATAAGTGGGATGAAGTTAAGAAATTTCCAAGTTCTTAGACATTTTTTATGATATTACTTATGTGTTTTCTAGAACAAAGTACCACATAGCCAACTTATGCTTCCTTTTAGTTTTCAAGGCACGCTTGACTTTGATCAAACACTTGAATGATGATGATGTGTATGTTAAAAACATGGTTGCTCAAATGCTTGTTAAGTTTGATAAATATTGATATGAATATAGCTTGATTTTAGCTAGAGCTGTGATATTGGATCCTTATTACAAGCTTTAGTTTGTTGATTGGAGTTACAAAAAGCTTTATGGGAATGATTCAATGGATTTAAAAAATGTTAGAGATAGTTTGTTTTCTCTTTATGATGAATATGCTATCAAACCTTTTATTTGTGGTTCATCCTCTAACATTTCTAACAATCAAACTTTTGATAAGGAATCTAGTAACACATGTGCAAATGATTTTTTCAAAGTAATTCAATTTTAATATCTTTTCTATTGTTTTGTTATAATTTTTTTATTTTAATATTTTTATACTTTTTTCTTAATTAGTAATTCAATTCTTATGGCATTGAGTTTGGAAATATTGTACAAAAATCTCAACTATAGCTTTATTTGGATGAATAAAGGATGATGGGAAACATTAATTAGATATCTTACAATTTTGAAAGGCAAATCAATTCTAGTATCTTGATCTTGCTTCTAAGGCGCAAGATATCTTCGGTATTCATGTCTTCATAGTGACATCTGAATTCGCTTTTAGTATTGGTGGTAAGGTTCTTGACCAATATTGTAACTCACTTAAGCTAGATATTGTGTAAGGAATTATTTGTTGTAAAGATTGACTTTTTGGAGAAATTGATAATGATATTTTTTTTTTATTGAACTTTTAGTTTTCTTAATGTCATAACTAGCACTAGCATAATTGTGAATATAATTTATCAATGTAAAAGGTGCATAGTTGAAGTTAAATTAAATTACAGAAGATCTTATCTAGATGGATATTAACAAATTAAGAAGATTCATTATCAGTGTTTTGCTTTAACTTTTCGTCTCTACCCAATGATTCATTAATGAAAGTTTAATAATGCAAAAAGTAATTTTTTAAAATTTTTTTAACTTTTTCTTTAGATTTTTATTTTTATTTTTATTCAATTTAATTAATATATATTTTTTACTTTATAAGTATGTGGCAATTAACAGTGTATGGGAGGGAGAATTGAGATGTTGATATGTGTCAAAGGATTCATTTGTATGCTAATATGTGAATGTGACTTTTATAGTTCTGCTATTAGTTTTTATTTTTTTCTTATGATATGTGGATTGGTTAGTGGTTATGGTTATGGACTTATGATTGTGGTTGTGTTACTTATTTATTTATTATCATGGTTATGAGAATTATTTTTGCTAGGATTATTATATTTATGTTTCATTTCTCAAGGAAAACATATGATTAAAGTGTTAACAATGTTTAGGATTTTAATATTTTTATTATATTATCATTTTGTTATAATGTTGAATTGTTGATAAGATATTTTAGTATTAATCATATATAATCATATTAATCTTGTCATGTTGTGTCATATTACTCATTCTTAAAATAGATTAAAATGTGTTAGTTATGTCGCATGTAACACGTATAATAAATGTATCATGTTCGTGTTTAGGTTATTCAAGTCATTTAAGTATTCATTTCATGTTCTTATCAATGTTATATGTGTTGTGTTTGAAATTATGTTTGACACAAAATACAACATGATGACACAAATTACCAAGTTTACAATTCATAGATGCCATGTTTTATGTCAGCAAGTTCTTGTAACCAATGTGAGGAATTGGATGGTATAAGGGTGAAAACTGATTGAGGTTTTAGTTTAGAACATTAAGGTTGGCCTTGACAGTCAGCCTTGTCCCTTATACCTACTATTATTACTTGTTCCTCAGAATCTACAACATAGAGAGGGAGTGGAGACCTAGTAGCCAACATATTATCCACTAACATTAAACTGTCATGTAATTCAAGACAAGAAACTGTGGCTTCCATTTAATTGCCACCTAATGCCCTACCTTATATTTTTTGAAAGGGTAACATGATAAATGACTTTTAACATGAAATATAAATTATAAATATTTTAATTAACGTAATATTTATTCTTAATGTGGTTAGTTTCAAATGATAACACATAATGAATAATTAATCTTCAAATACCACTTTAGTTAATCGATTCATAGTTTAGGTACCATAGTAGAGATTTTTAAAGTTCATACATCATATTAAATATTTCACTATAGTTTAAAAGCCATTTATGACATTAACCATTTTATAAACTATTCTAGTGTCTACTTGAGCTTGGTTCTAGAATCAAATGGCATGGAGAGGTTTGAGTTTACATTAAGTAGAAACTATTTTTTGCAAAAGGATGCAAACTAAAAATAAGAAAAAAAAAGTCATAGGTGGTGAGATTCAAATTTTAAACCTATTAGATGCCACATTTTTAAGGTAGCTACATGAATCAATTGAGCAAAACTTCGGATTCTAATACTAATATAATTAAAAAAAAGGGTTACAAGTGATGAGATTCGAATTCCAAACCTGTTAAATGCCATATCTTAAGGATAGATATATGAATAAATTGAGTTAAACTTCAAGTTCTAGTTCTGCTATATACTTATAACAAACTTTATCCCATTTTAAAAATTGAGAGAATTTGTTATAATATATATAACCTTAATCTCATACTAGTGATGCACTTTTGCTTAATAAAATCGTGAGACCTTTAGATCAAAGTAAATAATATTTCATAGATTAAGTATAAGTCTTCATAATTGGTATTAAAGTAATCATCAATCAAAGTGTGAAAGTTAAGTATTACACAATGGGAGTGACAACTAAAATCTCAATGAGTGATAGTTAAGTTTTACATGATAAGAGTTACTTTTAAAATCTCGATTAGGGCTTGATATCTATTTGACAAGACATCAAATTTTAACGAAAAAATGATAACTTTTTCAATCTCATATTGAAAAAAAATATAAGAATACGTCGTGCATATATAAAGACTTAACCTTATATTTGTAAAATTTTTTTAAGAGATAAAATAATGAGATATTTACATCAAAATAAATAATATTTCATAGATTAAATGTGAATTTTCACAACACTAATATATAAAATTAGGAAGTTCTAGTAAGTATCAAATTCCAGCATCTAAAAGCCTAAACCAGGTCTTGCGGCATGGAATTTTTTATGAATTTGTGAATACCATATACGGCTTGCTAAATGAGTAAATGGAGATTAGCCGTTCTTTTTGGGCTTGAAATGTGCGCAAAATCTATTCAATCCACCAACAATCCAAAAACCTACTAAGCCAAGGAATTTATTTAAAACAAACAAAGAAAAATGAAAAATAAAGTGAGGTGATCAATTGGATTTTTTTTTTTTTTGCCAAAGGTGATCCACTATTGAATATAGGTTACAAATTGTCAGAAATGCGCGTGTGGTACTGCCATTACCAGCCACCTGAATCCGTTGGGGCTGTCAGTGGGCGCGACCAATCCTCAACTTTCCAATCTGGAGATGAGCCAACGACTCACAGTGCGAGACCAGACCAGCCTCAGGAAAACTGATGTTCTATTGTACTTGCATTCCTGCATTGCCGACTGCAAACAAAGTCCCCAAACCGCTTTTACTTGCTTTCACTGGTTGTAACTTGTAAGGAAGATATTACTACTCCTATACAGTATAGACTTAAAATATTCACTACGCTTACACTCAACACGGTACACCTCAATAACCCCTCATCCAATGCCAAATGAAATGCTATCCAGTTTTCCAAATGCCATTTCCCTTCTTTCTTTTTTCTGAGAATTCTATCTTGTTGCTTTTTTTTTTTTCTTTTTTTTAGAGACAGGACTTTGTCCCAACATATATAACTGTCCCTAGAATAGGCTGATTTCTGTTGAGTTCGTAAATGCTGTCGGGCTAGGTTTAGAGGAGTAAATGAGTCAAATTAAGTTAAAATTCCCACAATAAGTTTAATTAGACTCAATTTAAAAAATAAAATTTCAAAATTTGACTTAAGTTCGATTAATTTTTATTTTTTATATTTGAGATCGATTTTTAATTTATTTGAGATATTCCAACTCAATTTGACAGGCTTGATATAATTGTAAATATTAATATTAAATATTATATTTTTATTATTCACTTATATATATTAAATATATTAAAAATTAAAAATTAAATTAAATTCCATTAAACTCGTGAATCTTTTTTACTCAAATATTAGATTACTTAAATTCATTAACTTGTTATCCAGGTAGGCTCAATAACAAAAGAGTCGAATTCAAATTTTGAATTGAGCCTTACTAGCTCAATTAGTTTACATCCCTCCCTAGCTAAATCAACCATGATTTAAGGAAACAAAGATCTTACCACGGCCTATAAAGGTGTTTAATCTGGTGACTCTCTCACTTCGGAATCATAGACAGGAATCCTACATAGAGAATCTTAAATCAAGATAGCTGCAAAAATTCAACTAACTAAAGAAATCGTGCATCACATGAGAAACTTTTTAAAATGATTCCGTCTTCAAAGAATGAATTTCTTTACCACTTGTTAAAATGGTGCTCAAACTTAATTTTACAATAGAAATACAGATTACAACATTTTGCTCTTCCCCCTGTTTGGGGCTGAATTATACACCTCAATAGAGTGCAAGAACAACATAAATAAAGTGGGCGTAAGATCGAGGGGGGTAAACAATTATAATTGATTGGGAAAAAAGGGAAAAGAAATCCACAATTTTGAGAAGAAAAGTCAGAGCCATGAGCAATGCCTGAGACTGTTGCATCTTCCTAACTGTTTTTATCTGACCAACTGCTAAAAAACCTGTAAGATGAAAAACAAAACCAAGAGCAGCTATGAGAGTCAATCCAGCTAGTTGCTTCCTGAATGAAGATTTCGCCACTACAGTTCGGTGTAAAGGTTGAACCAAGATTTTATTATGCAAATATGAAAACAAGTATTCCAAATCCTTCATTATGTTTGTCTGGGTTGGACAGAAGGACAACTCAACAACTTAGCAACAAAACGATCAGACAATTGTTTTCCTGACAACTCACCCAATATAAAAGTCCTGTAAATCAGGCTTTTAAATAGTCCATTCCATTGCGTTTCCTTTTGTTAGACCTCGAGAAGAAGCATATTTGAGCCCAACTCTTCTTCTGCTTCATCGTTTCTGATTTTACATCCTTTTTCTCAACAAGATCAACCATATACCGGACAACAGCCTGAGGAAATCAAGAAATAGCTTTAGCCATGGGGTAAATTTTTCTTTTATTGTTTCATTTTTAAAGAAAAGCATGTATTGGTTAATTACCAAAAGCAAGGGAAATATTACCTGTGCACCCTGTTCAGCAATGTGTCTAGGAGGCACTTCCAGAGGATTTTCTTCCACACGTAGAACTTGAAGGCGTGTTAGCATTCTAAAAGAGTCTGGGAGGACCCGGATCTGATTATTGCTAATGTCCAGCTCTTCAAGCATCTCAAGGTTCCCAATAGACCTTGGCAGCGACCGCAGATCAGCAAAATTGTTGCCTATATTCATCTTGACAAGTGTGGTGGCAAAACATAAACTCTCAGGCACAGACTCAACCTCATTGAAACTGACATCAAGTTCCTTCAGATTTGCCAAAGATGACATTGTTGTAGGTAATTGTTTGATGTTATTATAGCGCACGGATAAAACCTCTAAGGTTTCTATCTTCCCAGCTGCTTCCGGAAGGGCTTTAAGCCGGTTATAATCTGCGTGAAGCTCTTTAAGTGAAGTGCAGCGACCAATAGTATGTGGAATTTCATCAATGTCATTTGTCTCCACATTCATTTTCTTGAGGCTAATGAGTGAACCTATTGAGTCAGGGAGTGAAGGAAGGTGATTGGAGCTCAAATCAAGCTCCTCAAGGCGTACCAATCTCCCAAAGGTTGTAGGCAGAGTTGACAACTGGTTCGCACTGAGATCTAGAAAGACCAAGCAGAGGAGATCTCCAATGGAATCTGGGAGTTGAGCAATCCTATTTGAATGCAAATCAAGTTTCTTCAAGGATGAAAGGCCACCAATGGTGTCAGGCAAAGCTACAATACGATTATCAGACAAATCAAGTGTAATTAAACTGGACAACTTTCCAATTGAGTCAGGAAGCCAGTCAATTTGATCCATCAACTTGGATTGGAGGTTGAGATCTCGAGTGCCTTTCTTTGAAGAGACTTCAATTAAACTAGCTAGCTTAATCAAACTAAATTTGCCATCATCATGAACTGCACAAGAAAGTGATACCCATGGACTATTAGAAAAAGGGAAACGAGTGGTAGTAGCAGTAGACGGAAGGAAGAGTGTTAAAATCTCAGTCTAAATCTTTTTCCTTTTTTTTAATCTTAAAAACGAACAAGAGGGTGCGAGAAACATGTAGTTGATAATTCATAGTTGGGGGAGAGGGACAGAAAAAGTAGAAGCTAACCCGCAGCAGTGGTGCCCCCGGATTTAAGAGAGGAATCCAATATGTGAGGAGTGGATGAAATGGAAATACCAAACCCATCATTGGCGTTAGCATAGAAGGAAGACTTGGCCTTCTTAACATAACTGTCATCTCTGGTGAAGAGTACTAGTTCTGAGGTAGGCTCCCTGGAGGCGGAGGATGACGTGGCAGCAGCAGGTGAGTTGTTGGAAGGCGGAGGAGCGGTGGTGTGGGGCAAGGTGTTTGAGTGCGTGGGCCTATCACGAGATTTCAAGGAAGAAGAGGATAGACAGTTGGATGCCCTCTGGATAAATTCATCGAACAGAGCATGGATAGTCTCGAGATCCAGCAATTTCAAGGCCTCTCTCTTCTTCTCCTTGCTCAGGAAGTAAACCAAGTTCTTTTGCATCTCAAGGAGCAGAATGAAGAGCTCTTCCGGGACGTCAGGGTTCTTGCTCTGCCGACCAATGGCATCTAGTCTAGCTTGGTCTTCCTTTTCCACATTTCGGATGAGAGCCTTGGCAGCTTCAACCTCGTCGAGAGCTGGGCGTGGCGGCAGAGATCTGTGAATTCTCATGATCTCCTCCACCGCTTCGTCTATGGAGTGAACAACGCAGGATTCAACCATATTGGTGAGTGTTTGTAGTATGTTGTATGGAGGAAATTCCTGAATTCAGGGAGGACAAATTTCACAAATTTAGAACGAGAAGAAGAAAAAGAAGAGAATATTGATTCTGTTTGCTGCTTATACTAATATACTAGTACTCCAGAAACCCAGATTGAGATTGAGATCATCGTCATCCTGAATCTTTGACCTGATCCCAAACTGAATCTGGATTCTCAATCTAGCCTGCCTATGCAACAATTTCCTAGTCTATTTCAGTAAGTAGTAGAAGTAGAAGAATTTAGACAACAATAAACAGTACAATTATTACAAACAAAACAACGATGAATCATTCTACTTAAATTAAATCTTAGTAGTAGCTGTTGTAATTGTTATAAAGATAAGATTTTCCAGAAATAAAAAGACATAGCAATAGCGGCAATCAGAAAGAGTAGAAATTACTAGTATTTGTTATATGCAGGCGGACAAGTTGAGAATTCAGATTCGTTAGCGGTCAGTCCCACTCCCCCGTATCTCCAAAATAAAAACCCAGCACTTGCATAGCATAGCATAGCATAGCGTAGGAGCGCTTTCAACTTAAGCAAAAAAGAAGAAAAAATTTTATTACTTTTAGTTCAGAAGTACTAATCATCATAATAATCCGATAGTATTGAAGCAAGAATGAACTTAAAAAAAAAAAAGATATTTGATAACGTGACATTGAGAGCGGAGACTAAAACAAAATAGGCGTGAACTGATCGGTTATCTATAAACATCTACCCCTACTCCTTCCTCAGTTGCCAATGTCTTTGTCCTTTTCTATTACCATTATATCCGCTGCAAAAATGCAAAGCATTTGCTGGATATATGTGTCTTATTTTTTATTATTAATACGTGTTTCTCCCGTTTCCGGAATACCCCCTATTAGTAGAGTGATGAGTATAATTTTATTTTCACACTATAACTGCGCATATTAGCATAATTTAAAAGTATTTAAGTATTATATTCTTAAAATAACTGTAGTATAGCATAAGTATAGTATGTCAATGCCACACATACATACTACATACGTATTATTATAAGACCACTAATATTTGCTAGTGGAGTACTACATCTACTTGTTAAGCTAGATTTAATAGTAATAATAAAAATTAAAAAAAAATTATGAGACCATGATGGACTTAGGCGTCAGTTGGATAGTAATATTTATTTTATTTATTTATTTATAACTTAAAATTTGAGAGCGAGTGTGTGCGAGTAAATGCAGTGTTTGAAATGGAGGGAACACGTGTTGCGCTGATGTCCAAAACTGTCTGCCCAACCACTCCAGCTGGCAAATGGGTAGTCACGCCATAACCGTTTTCTGATGGCGATGACCCATGGGGAGGGAAGGAGAGAGAGATGTCAAATGAATTGAGTGGCTCGTGACACGACTTGTTTAATATGATATGGGTTGTGTTTGATATAATTTGTTGGTAAATAATTGAGTTAGATCAAATATGGTTTGATGTGGGTTGTGTTTGATCAAATTTATAGACGCATGCACTGGATTGAAAGCTTTTAGTTTATTGTTTGATATGATACTGTTTGGTAAGAGTAAGTATCACTACGTAATGTGTGGATTAACACCACATAACATATAAATTCAAATTTGTATTCTCATGTTGATTTATAATTATTATAAATAAGTTCTTAGTCTTTGAATATGTTTATATTTTTTTTTTATATTTCAATGAAATTATATTTATATTTTATCAATTTAAAAATAAAATTATATTAAATAAATAAATTTATTAAATATTTAAATTATTGATAAATAAATTATATTTAATTCATTTATGAATCGTTCGATGAACGAATTATTTTTATTCATTTAAAGTTATATGTATAAAAATAAATTAATTTTTTTTTAAAAATTATATGATCAAAATCTTTAAATTTATAATATATATAAAATAATTTATTTATAATGACATGTCATATTAAGATAAAATGCATTGTTTTAGTCCTACAATAAAAGCTTTACTTACAATTATAATTTATAAAGATAAAAATTATATTTAATCAATAAATTTATTTGCAATTGTAATTAGCGTGCTAACCATTCATCTAACTCTATAAATCAAGTTAGTTCCAAAAAAAAAAAAAAAAATCCAAAAATCAAACTGTAAGATATTTAATTTCATTGTTTTTTTTTTTTTTCAAATAAATAGATAACAATTTGCTATAAACAAACAAATGGTAAAATTATTTAATTTCATTGTGATTAATCAACCAATGGCTATTTTTTCTTTACATGTGTAAATACTTTCTAATCTTTTACAATTTTCATCAAACAAATAATATTCTATTTTCTCAACCCATTTAAATTTCTCTGTCATCTACATTTCTGTCAATCTCTCATAATTACTTAGTTACTTCTCATTCTATTTGTTTTTACTTTTCTTAGTTTACTTAATTTTCTCATGATATCAAATATCAAGTAAAGTGAAAAGACACACCCAAGAAAATAGGCATTCTCAATAACTTTTGCGACATTTTAGTAATAGAATTATATTTATTTTTATTATTTTATATTAGTTATTTTATTTTGTTGCAGTGATAATTTTATTTTATAATCTAAATTAGTCATTTCACTACCAGAAATATTAGCATCACTGATGAAATTTTTTCGTTGGTAATTACAGACAGATACCAATGAAAAATAAAAAAATAAAAATATTTTATCGATGAATTACAAATGAAATATCGAAAGAATTTACCAATGCAAAAAATACTATTTGGCGTGTTTTTTATCGACGAGAAAGTTAGTCAACAATCCATTGTTAAAAGCTTTACTGGCGGATTTTTTTCTATTGACAAAAAATTTTTAGTTTAAATTTTTGTTTTAAAATTAAGTTGGGAGGAAACTTTTTTCTTAGAGACTGAATCTTTGGCAAAAGTCAAAAATACCGATAGATTTCATCTGTAATTCATTGCTAAAAGTTAAAAAAATTTTGAATTCTCTATTTCTATCGGCAATCGATCAGCAAAGGTAAATCAAATATGAAAATCTCCTTCCTTTTTTTTTTTCCTTGATTGGAGCCATAACTTTATTTCTCTTTTCTCCTCTCTTTTCTCTTATCCTCGCCATTAGCAAGTGCCATGCCACTTTTTTTTCGCCACTTTCGCAAGCTCGTGAGCTCGTGAACTTGTGCTTGTCTCCTTTCTTCACTCTATTTATCACTAGTTTGTGCTTATGCATGTGCCACCTTCTCCTCACCGACATTTGAGCCCGTGACTGTGCCTGTGATGCGCCCCTAATCGCACCTATGACCATGCACGTGCCTTGAGCCTATGACTGCACTTGTTATTGCCACTGGTGCATTACCCTTAATTGTCAGCCTTTCAAGTGGTTTGGAACTCATCTCCTCTGCTAAGGTGCATTACCCTTAATCCTTTCCTTCGCATTTTTGTGCATATATATTACATGTGTGACAAATAAAAATAGTAATGATTATACGAATTTGGTTTCTTGAGAACTATCAATGAAAACTATACCAAATAAATCTTCGATATTCTTATGTTATACGTATTAATTCCATTGAAAAGAAAAACACTAATTTTGTGGATATTGGTTTGTACTAATAAGGTAAAAATATCATATCAAAAGTTGAAACTTTCAATTTTTATGTTCAGTTATTAGAAAAGAGAAGTGCTTTATTGAAAGGATTTATGAAAGGAATCTTTTAATAATAAACCTTTTTATCTACAACTGTTGATGATAAAGAAACCTTATTCCATAAATTTGACATAAATAAAAGTAATAGAAAGCTACATATATATAATGTTAGAAATAGTTTAAAATTTTTCTCTAAATTGTCAACAGTATCAATTAATAAATGTTGAATTGTTAATTTTGATGATAAAATTACCTTCAAAACCTATGTGCGTGCGTATGTATTTATAAATTTCATAATTGTTTTTTAGGACCTTAATTACTTAATTTTTAGTTTAATATACTAAGGGTAATATTTTTTAGACCTTTATGATGATGCAATTAGGGTTGAAAAAATGGACAAAGATCACTTTTGCATGTATTCTGGTTTAAATGTAAATAGATACATTAGTCAAAGTTTTTGCAATGGTGTAGAGGAATTTATTGAATATGCTTATTCTAAACCATCCTTTGTAAGTAATGGGAAGATTCAGTGTCCTTGTATCCAACGTAAAAATAAATGGTTTTTAAATGGGGATGTTGTGATTGGGCACCTTTATTATAAAAGGGTTTACTCTTAATTGTTAGAGAGTTAGGTCTCACATGAAGAGTTAGAAGTATGACAACCATCAATAAGCAAGAATACCTTTGAATTGATTAATGAAGTAAGATTAGAAAATTTGTATACTAGAATGGTTATGGATTTTGTCTATCCTAATTTTGAGGTGAATGTTTCTCATGCTAGTGATGTAAGAGTTTAGGAGGATTATTCGAGTGCAAACGTGGTAAGCTTTTATTTTTTGTTGAATGATACTGATGAAATGTTGTAGTTAGGCTGTACAAAGCACGCAATCCTATCTGTTATATTGCAACTTTTAAATTATAACTAAGAATATAACATGAATGAGTCATGTTTTGATCATCTGATGAGCATAGTAAATGATATGTTAACAATGGATGATAAATTACTAGAAACTTTTATAAAATGAAAAAAAAAATGACGAAACTTGGACTTGGTTATAAGAAAATTTATGTATGCGAAAACAATTGCATGCTATTTTATAAGGAAACAGTAAATTTGACATATTGTTCGGTATATGGTCATCCTCGATATTTAAAGAATAAGTCAAATGGTGAGAAGAAAAAACATACTTTTTATAAAATCTTACATTTTATGTTACTAATACCGAGATTCAAAGACTTTATATGTCAAGTTAAACTACTAAATATATGACATGGCATTTTTATAACCAAAGTTATGATGGTATGTTTCGACATCCTATTAATGGTTAAGCTTAGGAACATTTCAATCACAGCCATGAATTATTTATAGTTGAAGTTCAAAATGTTAAATTAGGATAATGTGCTGATGGTTTTTGTCTATTTGATCCAAATGCGAAACTATACTCTTGTTAGTCAATAATGATAGTGGTATACAATTTGCCATCATGGTTGTGTATAAAGTGAGAATATATCTTATTGAATAAGGTCAGTCTAGAAAAACATAGTCCAAGTTAAAATATTGATATTTTCTTAAGATTTTTAATAGATGAGTTAAAAATGTTGTGATCAAATGGTGTTGTGACTTATGATGCTTATAGAAAATAAAATTTTCATTTGAGGGTAATTTTTTTTTATGGGACAATTAATGATTTTCCTACAAAGAGTATGCTGTTTGGATGGAACATTCATGGAATCTTATCGTGTCTTTATTATAGGACAAGGAAAGTTTTTTTCAATTGGCTTATGGTAAGAAGCCTTGCTTTTCTAATTGTTATTGTTAGTTTTTAACTCTTAATCATCTTTTTAGAAAGAAAAGAGATAAATTTCAAAAAAAGGTTGATTGTGATTCGCCTATTGTTCCATTATTAAGTGAAAAAATTTTAGCTTGGTTGGATAACTTTCTTAATATCACATTTGGCATGAAATATAGTGATAAAAAATTAGTCAATTTTGGTGAAAGTTACGATTGGGTGAAGTATATTTTGGGAATTAACTTTTTGGCCTACCAATCTTATTCGGCATAATCTTGATAAGATGCTTATTGAGCATAATATTTTTTACAATATCTTTAACACAATGATGGATTTTTAAGGTAAAACCAAAGATAACATAAAGGCTATACTAGATCTTAAGGTGTATTGCAAGTGACCCGAATTGGAATTGGTTGAAATGAACAGGAAAGTTTTCATGCCTAAAGTTTCTTAAACTTTAAGCAAAGAATAGAAAAAAGATGTTTA